ATTTTGTGCATTCTTTCTTTTAGATCAATTGCCACTCAAGACTATATAACCCACAGGGGATAGGAAGAGATAGATAAATAACTTTCCCCAGGATATTTGCGCGTAAATGAATGTAAGGAACTCGACTTGAATTCGAACCCGAATCGCTGATTTTTCATTCCATGTTGCTAGCCATTACACTACCATTACTATGTAACTTAAACGGACTTGCACAACCTCTATTCAATGACAAGAAAAAGTTAAGGTAATGGTAGTTTGACTTCACCGCATACTATTCGAACAATCTGATTTAAACACTGTGGAAGAGTCGTTAATATATATATCATAAATTTATGGTATCTACAGAACCAATTGTTGGCAAGTGGTTCGCCATCTAAATACTGATCAAGATCAACGCTGCTTAACTTCAGTGCTCGAACGGAAACGATGCCTTTAGTATTATATATAACAGAATAGCTGGAATACAGGTATACCTCACCATACGTCGTTAATTGGTTGCAAAGGTCACGACATAGGTCGAAAAACGATTTAAGTCAAAACAACCAAACCTCAAATAAGTGCTTCCCATTTCCTATTACAGTATTTATAATATATACGTACAGAATTCTGAATAAAAGAATTCATTTCCACCTTATCTTCCAGTGATATAAGCTCTCTTCGGAACCATGGGCAAAAATGTATTCTAAATCTCGATTTAAATGCAATTGAAAGAATGTCAACAGCAGAGCACAGATGTACAAATTAGAACAAATTTTCTAAAAAAAAAAAAACATTTCAAAAATAATTTCATTCATTTGTGAATAAGTCTTGAAAATTTCATGAAATGACTTGATTTTTGCAAGAATTTTCAAATCAATGTTTTTCAACGGAAAAAAAGCGCAAAAAAATTATTTTCATACCCCCACGATGACGTAAACAAAAGAAGACTTCAAGCAAAATTCCGAACGTGTTAGAAAGGATTAAAAAAATTAAAAAAATAATTAAAAAATAATTTGGTCTTTCATCTTAATAATAACATAAACATTTTGACGATAAAACTTTATTTTCGTTAAGGTTGTGGCCTTTTTCATTACGCTATCTGTTTTCCCGCGAAAAAGCGGAGGAGCCTAGAGTATACCATGTGTCTATATATATATATATATATATATATATATATATATATATATATATATGTGTGTGTGTGTGTGTGTGTGTGTGTGTTAATGCGGATGTATAAATATAAGTTGTAAGTATATATATATTTCGATGAAATATCTCATAGGAGAAAAACGAAAGGAAATTGCTCATGAAATTTAGCGAGGACTGAACTGTTTTTTTTTTTGTTTTTTTTGACGGTATGCTGAATGCGTAATAAAATTTGCAGTCGGCAAATTCTACCATTTTTTTTTCCTTAACTGCGAAGGCGCTTTTAAATACAATGTATCGTAACAGCGGGTTGGTTAGGTAACTATCTTTGCACAAGCTTTTAAAAAGTAATCCACCCAAAAATAAAAATTTAAAAAGGTATTTATCTTACAAAATACGCGAGAAAAGTTTTTATACACTTTTAAGATTTTTTTTCTCATACCAAAGTTTCTCCTATGTCTCTCGTAGACCAAATGAACTATTTTTTTTCAATGTGTGTTATTTTTTTTTAAGAATAAAATGTGAATATCTATCATAAATACATGTATATAAATATCACGAAGGGTGCTAAAAAGGTTATCTGTCGTGAACACATCTTAAAACCTGGCTCAGTGACTAAGCATCAGAATTTATCTGGACTCCCTTCTTGGTTGGACTGAGAACTTTTTCAGAGACCTTAGATCTCGTCTCTCTGGGTCTTTCTCTTATTCGCATAATTCTGCGCATCCTTTAGGATGTGCGGGTGGTGTAATGAGATATGATGCTTTCTGGAAATGAGAAATCGTACCACCGAGTGCGAATTTTAGTCGCTTTCGTTACACCACCACCACCACCACCACCACCACCATCATCATCATCATCATAACCATCATCCCCTTCTTCTTCTTCTTCTTCTTCTTCTTCTTCTTCTTCTTCTTCTTCTTTCGGCCTTAACCCCGGTAGGAGTCTTTTCGGGCGCCGACGTGCTGAGATGTCCACCATTCCCCTCCATCTGTTGGGGTCGTGTGCCAGAGCCTGGGTCTCTGCGAATGGTTTCTTGGCGTACTCATAATGTAGCGTGTTAGGACTATAGAGTTGAAGTAGGGTTTAGAAAGAACCGGAAACACAATCCTAAACAGGAAACAAGAGATAAGACTCTTCCCCTGTTCAAGAGATCGAGGAGGAGTCTAAACCAGACGATAGGCAAACCTAAAGAAGAAGAATATGCGAAGACCTATGATCGCCTACGTTCTGAAATGACATGATATTAAAAAAAAATTATAACATACCGTTTATGAAAAAAAAAAAAATAAAAAATATATATTTAAGTCTATCGAACAATTTTAATTACAACGATTTCATTGATACTGTCTTAAATCAGTCATGGAAAAAAACATTTCAACATTTTCTATGATGACAAGTATTCAGGTGGTTCTAAAAACTAATGACATCTCCGGGGACAAACATGTAAGATCTCCTATCGCCACATTTTGAAAACATGTTATATATATTTACCTGTGGATCCTCGTGTCGTAAAAGCTAGCTACTAGCTTTTACTGTAGGAAGATCGACAGGTGTAATTGTGTAAACGGAATCGCTTGGATTTTTTTTATTACATTTTAGAAAAAGTTTAAATTGCGCTATATTTTTTTATTTTTTATTTTTAAGGTACTCTTTGCTCTTTTTTTTATTCGTATACATGTTTTATTCTCGAAACAGCAAGCATTTGTCTTGAACTTTTGTTACCAATCATGAATCTTTAACAAAACATACTATTGGTATAACTTAGATGCTAAAATGATCCATTTACTCTAACTAAAATATATAATTTTTTTAAAAATCTTTTTGTATGAAATAAAAAAAAAACTATTTTGGTATTTTAATATTAATTGTAATAATTCTATAAAAATAAACATATTTTTAAAAAATGTTTCCAGACATGTAAGAAAAAAGAATGGAAACAAAGTCAAATATGATTTTTAAAAAAAAACCGGTGTGTCTATCTCGTGTGTGTGTGTGTGTGTGTGTGTGTGTGTGTGTGTGTGTGTGTGTGTGTGTGTGTGTGTGTGTACTTTATGTCTATGCGTTAGTGTATTTATGTATCTCTCTGTGAATTTTTAATTCAATTTATTGTACAGGTTTATGATTAGTACTGCTTAACACTTCCCCAGTCACATTCCTCACGTTAACGTTAAGGCTGCCACTTTCATTTTCGTCGAATTTAAGGTCGACATAAATTTAATTTGCCCTTTCTCAAAAGATATATTCCAATAAAAAAAATGCTTGTACTGAACGGAATAAATTATTTGAAATGGACATTTGAAAAGAATAAGCTGAAATAAAAATGTGTTCTTTGAAAAACAGCGCATACATGTCATTAGAGATTTTAAAAAGATTATTTATAAAATTAAAGCAAGAAAGACATTTAATATTAATTATGTTCCCAGCTTCGATCAGGCTCAGACCTACTCAGCCCGACTAGCCACGTTAAGTTTATCTTATTCTTTTTTGGCTGACTTTTTTTTCTTTGTTTTTTTTTTCTTTCTTTTTTTTTCTTTCTTCTTTATTATGAACAATATCAAAGAAATGTATTTCGGTCAATATTTTGAGGCACGAAGTTAAAACTATTAATTCTGGAGCGAGCTGAAGTCAAGAATTAAAACGACGCACTAGGAATAATTTCTGTTGGTTTAAAATAGATATACTTCAATGTTGACAACTCGTGCTAAGCCTGACAAGCCCGACCTCCGGAGTCGCGACACACACACACACACACACACACACACATATATATATATATATATATATATATATATATATATATATATATATATATATATATATATATTCGTTTTAGTATGAACTATAAACGTATACGAAACAAAATTGGAGATAATGAGACAAAGGGAGAAATCATTTTGCCAATGACGTCTGTTAGGATCCATTATCTGCAGGATGGAATGAAAGACAAATGTCAAAAACTTATATATGGAAAATTCGTTTGGATTTTTGTCGATAAGAGAGGCAATAAAGTAAGTTACCTTATCAGTCTTTCCGTCTCTGTCTGTCTCTCTCTCTCTCTCTCTCTCTCTCTCTCTCTCTATATATATATATATATATATATATATATATATATGATGTCTTTTCTGTTTATACCTTACTTTATAGATACAGTTTAAATAAAATTAAAAGTAAATGCTCTGTTTTAAATTAAACTGTCTTAGTTACATTTACGTGCCTGAATGTTGCAGAAATTTCATAGAATATATGCGTTCTCCAACAGAAATCGAACCTGTATTTTTATACGGAAACCATCATTTGATCAAGCGTGCTATACCCTGTAGTCTGAAGAATCTTATGTTTAGTTAAGTCCAAATTGCTGTTTATAAACAACGCAGTCTTCGACGATTTTTCTCGATCGATCATTTCTGCTCACGAAACATATCTTAATTCTAACAATGACAACATATGAAATGGATTAATTCCGACAATTATTTTAATATATTTTCTGTTTATATGTTATTTTCATAGATACAATTTATTAAAGTAAATGCTCTGTTTTTAATAAAGCAGTATTAATTATATCCCCCACCCCTGAATTTTCGAGAAATTTCGTAGAAAATATGCGTTCCCCGACAAGAATCGAAACTGTATTCCTATACGGAAACCGTCATTTGATCAATAATATAAACAGCAATTGTATCTATAAAAATAATGTATAAATAGAAAATATAATAAATAATTGCCAGACTTAATCCATTTCATTATATATATATATATATATATATATATATATATATATATATATATATATATATATATATATATTGCAAGGAATAGATACAAATTATTTCCTAAAGGCATTATGAAAATAAAAAATAGATGATAACGCTTACAGAATAGACCAACCGGTTTCGTTCCCAAGCTCATCAGGGTCGACGGGGAACAATTTAACAATTATTGCAATATAAATTAATTCACACAAACACCCAACATACAATTAAAACATTAAAAAATGAAATGATTAATGGCATGAGGGAAAAAAAATTCAAACCGCGCGAATTTGCACAGCACAAAGGAGGAATAAAAATGGGGAGTGTGAAGGGAATGTATGATACACACTAGAGTCTAATAACGTGAAGCCCAAGGAGACAGTCTTTTTGCTTGCAAAGAGACGGCTCCCTGGACCGAATATACAGACTCAAGTGCCCGCAAATGAAATGGAGAGTGCGAACTGGACAGTACAGTAAACCAATTCGGACTGAAATCCTTCGCACAATCCCTGCAATTTATCAAATGTTCAGTGATCGCTGACCCGGAAGTATTAACCAACTGGCTCTTACGGGCATCCGGATTAAGAACTCGCTCATATACTTCATTGTGCTGCTATTCATTTTGCGATGATCATTGATATTATGTATGGTCCTGATCTTAGGTCTATTCTCTAGAATTGCCAGATTTTCACAGTATCAATGCATACTTTGCGTGTTCATTGGGCCTTGGATTGGTAGAACATTTGTAAGCAACTCGTTCTCAGCATGCTTGTGTTCAACTCATAGATAGGTATCTTCTGAATTATCTACAACATAGCATTGTGCTAAATTTAAATAGATAAAAAAGTTTTCAAAATTTTAAAATATATTACACTAGCGTAGAAACTAATGCGATTCCAATAAAATAAAAATAAAATATATATATAAATATATATATATATATATATATATATATAGATAGATAGATAGATAGATAGATAGATCATTCCAAGCATGCAGGTGCATTAAACACACTTAAATATAAACAGACCATCACATATTTATTGATTCCAGCCCACTTTACTAAAAAGAAAAAAAAATCGCAATTTTTTGTTTGCTATAGAAATTAGTGAAATGTTTTACAGAAAAGAGAAAGTCGAAACGATCAACTCATTCGCTGCTGGTTTAAAAATACCTTTTTTTTCCAGTGATGTTTATTTTCAAACTGTGATGTCAACAACACGTTTGACTGATCTTTGTGTGTGCCAAGTTTTGCTATTGTTCGGATGGGAGATTTTTGTCACTATTTACCAACACGTGAGTGATAAAAAATATATATGCATTAAATGTAGAGGTAAGTTTCTTTTTTTTACTGTAGAATAATTCGTGATTTTTTTTTTTTTATCATTACTTGAAATCTGATTGCACTTTTGAATTAGGAACATACGATTTTTCTAGTTTTTATTAAAAATGGTATTAGACATTTTAGATTTTTTTTTCTTTTCTTGTTGTCTGTTCTGCATTAGATTTATCGCCATCACAATCGTTTCTATTAATCATCAATGTCGATTAAAATCTTAAATCACTTAAAATAAAAACAGTGGGCATTTAATGGTTCAATCACTTCATTACAGGTTAAACTTTTTTGTAGCATAGGTTTATTTAAAATTAATTTTTTGGTTCGAGTATTTTGTAGCAACACGTCTTTATTCACACATATAAACCGCCACACACACACACATACACACATATATATATATATATATATATATATATATATATATATATATATATATATATATATATATGTATGTGTGTGTAACTGCATATATATATATATATATATATATATATATATATATATATATGAATATGTGTGTGTGTGTGTGTGTGTGTGTGTGTGTGTGTGTGTGTGTGTGTGTGTGTGTGTGTGTGTGTGTGTGTGTGTGTGTGTGTGTGTGTGTGTGTGTGTGTGTGATATGAGAAGAATAAGGGACTGATAGGAAACATTCATAAATTTAACATGTTTCCCTTTATTCAACCTTCATCAAAATGGAAGCTTATTATTAAAACAGATATCAACTATGAGCATGGCCACAATATGCTGACCGTATTTGGAAAATAAAACATTCCTATAACACCAGATACATACTTAAAGACAATACATTCATTCAGTTAAAAGTAAAAATAAAATCATCGTTGATAATGGCTATAAGGTTAGCCGAAAGCACTCAGATATACAAAAGATTTGGACAATTTCTATAGAATTTATGTCCAGAAAAAAGAAAATTGTAAGAACACATGAAAAATTAAATAAAAAACTTAACCGCAGTACTTGTATTTAATGAAACTTGTATAAAAGAGGGATTGCTGCCCAAATACACAATTATATATATATATATATATATATATATATATATATATATATATATATATTTAGTTTATGCAAAAGTAGGTAATCCGTATGGGTAGACCCAAAGAGGATGATATCCAGAGAGCTCAATGTAAGTTCAGAGCAAATATGTTTGAATAAAAACAGATCACTTTACGGTTCCATGTTATAAATTATTTCACCACAAACTTTTTTTTTTTTTCATTTTAACTTTTGGAAGGAAAGTCTGATGATCCAGAGCCCTCGAAAAGGGTTGTGGTGAAATAACTTATTACATGGAACCTGTTTTTATTCAAACATATATATATATATATATATATATATATATATGTTTTTATTATATATATATATATATATATATATATATATATATATATATATATATATATATATATAATTCATGAAAATTTCTTAAAAATCCATCTCGATTGTAATTTATTTCATGAATGTATTTAAATCTTCATCTCTTCAGACCGATGGTTTTTTAGATTTTTTTGTTTTGTTTTTTAAAATCCTTCGGTCTGAATAGATGAACATTTAAATACATTCATGAAATAAATTTCAACCAAGATGGATTTTTAAGGCTTTTCTTGAATTATTATTATTATTATTATTTTGCTCTGCAACTTACGTTGTATCGGGATTAATGTCCCCCTTGTAATTATCCCTACCAATTACCAATATATATATATATATATATATATATATATATATATATATATATATATATATGAGGAAATATATTTTTAAGATGTGCTATATTTAAGTGCTCAATATCAGAGATAGAACGTGTGTAAATATAAAAGTCAGGCCGCCTGATGAATGCGTCTAGCATGAAACAGGCTGTCGCTTCTTAGTGTTGACTTCAATTTTCACTTTTATATATATAAACACACACACACACACATACACACACACACACACATATATAGTGTGTGTGATGGATAAATTACCGTCTAAATTATGCAAAAATGAAAATAACACTGACGTCTTAACAGATATATTTACCAAAATTACACAAAAATGTTTTAAAATACTAAAGAATTAATTTGTTCAATAAAAACGCCATTGGCTTAATCCATGGCCTCCAGATGAATCTCCTACCACTCTTCTGAACGGTCCTCTTGTTGGTGAATGCTGCCATAATTCTTGCCTTTGGTGTTGCAAAGAGTTTTATTGGTCTCTTGCTCAACTGTGCCCCACCCATAATAATCAAGTGGGTTGCAGTCTGGGGAGTTAGTTGGCCAGATGTAAGGGGTGATGGGATCGCGGAAATGACTGGGTTCCCCTGTTTGTAAAACATGGTGCAGAGTCCTCTTGCCAGACATGGTGTCTTTCATCAGCCACGCCCTTGATTTAAGACAGGACTACCTTCTCAAAGAACTTGACGTAGGCACCCGTATTGATCCAGAGGCCATGTAGGACGATGGATGGAGTCTTAACGTCGTCATCACTATTGATCACTCCAAACACCATGTTGTTGACTGGATATATCATCCAACTGTTTCTGAACACTCAGATTGACATCCAAACACTCTGAAATTTTCTTATTGAAGATTCCGGTGCGAATGCCAAGCAGTAAAGCATGCAGTTCCCAAATTTCTGGCAGAGTAAACTGCGTTATGGTAAACTTTTTTCTCACAGACGGTTCCCAACTGACCCGGCTCTACAGTCGACAAAATCAAAAACAAACTAGCATGCGCGAAATTAAAAATATAAAAAGGCGACAACTTATCTATCGCACCCTGTACATATGAGTTGTATTTCGCCAACAATACTTCTTTCAGACATGTTTGGTTAAATAATATCGACAAGTTATGTCTTTTGTTAATTTTTTTCAAATTTCCGAATTAGTTGTTTTAAGTTATTAGTAAGTTTGCTAAAGTTCATATTTATTTTATATCATTTTCCTCGAGTACTTTCGAATGCCACTACATTCATTTTCAAGGATTGTGTTTTGTGTAAATTTACGCAACTGTTTTTTTGTTTAATTGCGACGTTCTCTCATTTGCATTTCTAGTCACTAAAGGTGACGTCATTTAAATGGTCAAATTTTTATTTATATTTCTGTTTAAACACACTTCAATATACGACCCCCTATGAAGAAAAATACCTTATTTAATGCTGGCTGCTTCTTTTATTACAGAAAACGTGAGGGGTTTTATTAAATTTGACCAAGTTTGTTCCATTTACTTTTTTATCTTATTTTTTTCGATTTTCGACCACCGCTCTTTTGATGCGATAAGGGAAAAGCTATCGCAAGTTTGGGACCCTGGGGATGTGGGTTACCCTGATAATTTTAAAAGGAAGGTAAGACTTCTTTTACACTTTAACCCTAGTCTGAAGGGTAAGTTTGAAGGGAAAGGAATCGACATTTTTGTCTTGCATTTAACTTACCTTTCCTATGGGTAGGATTTTTCAACATGTTTTTTCTTCACACGGAGTAAACAAATGCGTACATATGCGCCAAGGCCCCAAAATTGCCCAACCCCAGCGATTACTGTCACTGACGTTATTGTCCACGAATTCCCACTGCAATCCTTCAGAACACATCAAAGAAGATACTACATTTTAATCATAGACCCAAAACAAGGGAGCAGCACGTTTATACTAGGGAATCAATATTCTGACCCAAAGCAAACGTTTCAATATATTCGCCAAGAGTTTCGTTACTATTGATGTTAGCTAGAATATAAAACTTGAATTTTAGCTTTCATCTACCTATTAAGTTGAAGCTACGTTAATACAAATAAGGAAATATAGAAATTCAAAACTTAACATTACTTTTCCTGCCTTGAATGCGGGTGTGAAATACGCTAACGTCACTTGACTTTTACTGCAGAAAATTCGGGCCAAACGACTCTGGTCACGATCATTAAGGACCCGTAGTCAGCGGTCTCCGGTAGGCAGTAAATCAATCTCGCTAATATTATTTCGATCTAGACTGAGGTATATCAAATAACCTCGCAACTTCAAGAATGTCTATATAATGATAAAGAGAATGATAATGACTTGGAGAATGTGGCACTCACATAAAAGCAAAAGTGACTGGGGAAGGCAACGAGTTGCATAGTTGAGGAGCTTGTGTGAATGGATGGCTTGAGAGCGAGTAAGAGACGTTGCTAAGAGCTATAAGGGATAGGAGATTGGGGAGGACAATGATCGCCCACGTCCTGAAGGGACACGACAAAAGAAGAAGAAAAAGAATGTCTAGTCTGTCTGGTACCTACTATCATGTCCCAATCGAATTCCAATAATTCCCACCATATTGTCACTAAATATCAGAAGAAATTTAATATAGATCTGAACACAAGGATACATGGCACAGTGGATAAGTTCAATACCCGGTTAAAGCAGTGGAGAACTTTCAGAGGGAAATTAACAGGAGGTAACTGATAACTGACATCCATCAAACGTGGAACTAGAACAGTCTACCCCAGTGAGCGAAATAAAGAGTTCAGTTCGACATTCCAACCACCTGAAGAGGGCCGGAGCGTACAACGGCCAAAACATTGTGATAAATATGGTGACAAAGACAAGGACAATAGTCCGAATAATGTAAATAATGTAGATCTGAACACTTCTATGACATCAAGGTAAGGTGGTGCCACTTACCATTACCCAAACATACTGCTATCCCATGACTTTTGGCATGCCAGTGTATTTTATGGCTTCTCTTCCATTCACCAACTCGTCATTATCTGAATGAGCCTTAGATCTCTTGTCATAATGTAAAGTTGGTAATGGTGAGGAAAAGGTGTCGGTGGGACATAGCGTGAAGAGGGTCAGCGGCCTCACTAGTGGCTTTCAGAACATCATATGATGTAACCGGAAGTCACTGACAACAGCCTATTCTCTACTCTTTTAAAACTTAACAGGAAGTCAACAGCAGGAATGCGCGGATAAATATTTATGCCGTGGTTATTGATGCCACATTAAAATATCTTCGTCTTTCTGAAGATTTTCTCTTAGTTGTTTCCCCCCCACCATTTCTTGTCTGCTCCTCTCTCCCACCTATTTACCATTCCACCCAAACCCATCTCATTTTATTCCACCTGCTTATTTCCTCCCAAACCCATCTCTGTTTTTTATTCCACCGTTCTTTCCTTTATTCTCTTCACGGCTTTATTCTCTTCATTCAGTTATTCACCCACTTCTTCATTTTTTCATTTCTTTCTTCTCTTCATTATTTTATCTCTTTTCAGTCCTTTATTCTCTTCATTCCTTTATTCTCTTCCCTGATTCATTCTCGACATTCCCTTATTCTCTTCACTCCCTTATTTACTCATTTATTTGTTTCTAATTTCTTTAACTTTATTCTCATTTTATTCTTTATTCTCTTCTGATTCATTCTCGACATTCCCTTATTCTCTTCCTCCCTTATTTTTGTTCTCTAATTTACTTTTTTATTCTATTTTCTCTCTCTTCCTGATTCATTCTCTCGATTCATTCCTTTATTCTCTTCACTCCCTTATTTACTCATTTATTTGTTCTCCTAATTTCTTTAATTTCTCCACAACTTTATTCTCTTCATTCCTTTATTCTCTTCCTGATTCATTCTCGACATTCCTTATTCTCTTCACTCCCTTATTTACTCATTTATTTGTTCTCCTAATTTCTTTAATTTCTCCACAACTTTATTCTCTTTATTCCTTTATTCTCTTCCCTGATTCATTCTCGACATTCCTTATTCTCTTTCCCTTTATTTACTCATTTATTTGTTCTCCTAATTTCTTTAATTTCTCCACAACTTTATTCTCTTTATTCCTTTATTCTCTTCCCTATTCCCTTATTCTCTTCACTCCCTTATTTACTCATTTATTTGTTCTCTAATTTCTTTAATTTCTCACAACTTTATTCTCTTTTTCCTTTATTCTCTTTGATTCATTCTCGACATTCCCTATTCTCTTCACTTCCTTATTTACTCATTTATTTGTTCTCCTAATTTCTTTAATTTCTCCACAACTTTATTCTCTTTATTCCTTTATTCTCTTCCCTGATTCATTCTCGACATTCCCTTATTCTCTTCACTCCCTTATTTACTCATTTATTTGTTCTCCTAATTTCTTTAATTTCTCCACAACTTTATTCTCTTTATTCCTTTATTCTCTTCCCTGATTCATTCTCGACATTTTTTATTCTCTTCACTCCTTTATTTACTCATTTATTTGTTCTCCTAATTTCTTTAATTTCTCCACAACTTTATTCTCTTCATTCCTTTATTCTCTTCCCTGATTCATTCTCGACATTCCCTTATTCTCTTCACTCCCTTATTTACTCATTTATTTGTTCTCCTAATTTCTTTAATTTCTCCACAACTTTATTCTCTTTATTCCTTTATTCTCTTCCCTGATTCATTCTCGACATTCCCTTATTCTCTTCACTCCCTTATTTACTCATTTATTTGTTCTCCTAATTTCTTTAATTTCTCCACAACTTTATTCTCTTTATTCCTTTATTCTCTTCCCTGATTCATTCTCGACATTCCCTTATTCTCTTCACTCCCTTATTTACTCATTTATTTGTTCTCCTAATTTCTTTAATTTCTCCACAACTTTATTCTCTTCATTCCTTTATTCTCTTCCCTGATTCATTCTCGACATTCCCTTATTCTCTTCCTCCCTTATTTACTCATTTATTTGTTCTCCTAATTTCTTTAATTTCTCCACAACTTTATTCTCTTCATTTCTTTATTCTCTTCCCTGATTCATTCTCGACATTCCCTTATTCTCTTCACTCCCTTATTTACTCATTTATTTGTTCTCCTAATTTCTTTAATTTCTCCACAACTTTATTCTCTTTATTCCTTTATTCTCTTCCCCTGATTCATTCTCGACATTTTCACTCCCTTATTTACTCATTTATTTGTTCTCCTAATTTCTTTAATTTCTCCACAACTTTATTCTCTTTATTCCTTTATTCTCTTCCCTGATTCATTCTCGACATTCCCTTATTCTCCCTTATTCTCATTTATTTGTTTCTCCTAATTTTTTAATTTTCCTCAACTTTATTCTCTTCTTCCTTAATTTCTTTGATTCATTCTCACATTCCTTTATTCTCTTTCCCTTATTTACTCATTTATTCTCTAATTTCTTTGATTCATTCTCATTCCTTTATTCTCTTCCTGATTCATTCTCGACATTCCCTTATTATCCCTTATTTACTCATTTATTTGTTCTCCTAATTTCTTTTAATTTTCCACAACTTTATTCTTTTTATTCCTTTATTCTCTTCCCTGATTCATTCTCGACATTCCCTTATTCTCTTCACTCCTTATTTACTCATTTATTTGTTCTCTAATTTCTTTAATTTCTCCACAACTTTATTCTCTTCATTCCTTTATTCTCTTCCCTGATTCATTCTCGACATTCCTTATTCTCTTCACTCCCTTATTTACACATTTATTTGTTCTCCTCGTTTCTTTAATCTTTTCACAGCTCTTTATTCTTTCATTTTCTTTTCCTCTTATTTATTCTTCGGTTCTCTTCATTACTTTATCTCTATCCACAACTTTATAGCCTTTATTGCCTCATTCTCTTCACTCCTATATTTACTTCATTCTCTCATTCTCTTCATACTTTTATTCTGTTCACTGTCTTTTTTTTCTACACTCTTATTCTCTGCATTCCTTTATTTTCTTCGCTTCTTTTTTGTCTGTCTCCTATTCTTTTCATTACTTTATCTCTCTTCAATATACATTCCCTTATTCTCTTCCATCATTTATTTTTGTATTCCATTATTCACTTCAATCCTTCACTTTTTAAATTATTCCATTCTGTTATTCTCTTCTCATACCTCTTTAGGATTACGCTTGTCTGTATACTACCTGCGTTTTTATATTAATTTCATTTATTGTCAGTCTTTTTTCTGCTTGATTCAACGAGATTTCAGCTGAAAGCAAATCTAAATTTAGAAAGCCATTCAAATATATGAACCAACGACCTAATTCTTCAGACTATGCGAAATATTCAGTAAAAATTTGACTATAATTTTAATCTCTTGCAAAGGGCAAACCGTCATCAAAATATTATATTATTTTCTCAATGGACTATCACAAAATTAGTTTTATTAACATTATTAATAGTAATAATAATTATTTATTACTATTTCGCTTCTTCCGCACAGAATACGGTGTTCGTTGATGGTAAGAAGTTTCTTTTCGGGTCTACACTTGCATCTTAAGAAAATAAACTGGTCATTGGCAGGTTGTATCAAATAGTTTTCGAAAAATCCGTTCTGTTTCGTGAAGGCGCGCTGTTTGTCATGGCTCCATTTTCAAATCCCAATTTTCTTCGCTGTTTCTTTTTTTTTTTTTTCACCCAAATGATTACTGATACTAGTGAGAGAGCAACACGCAAAAAAAAAAATGTGTCGCTAGGGTATAAATATACGAATCCCAATATATCTATGATGACATCCAGCCTGATTAGGAAATACCAGGCACATGCACCACAGCCAAATATGCGCAAATATGTTAACAGGTTTTGACATAAGCAAAGCATACCATTATAGTTAGAAATACCTTCAGGTAGCGTATCCCTAACGGCTTAGACGGATTAGGGTGTTCCCAAGAATCAAAATGTGGCTCCCAAGTCACCTTGTCTATTAGCTACCATCCTTTACTCCACACCTACTGTATTCTCGACAAATAATTCATCAATTGATTGAATCATTCATTTTCTACGGCATATCAACCCTTTGCGGGTTATTTAAAGACAAAAATATTTTTAGATTTTAAGAATTTTTTTTAGATAATAACGGTTTAGTGATACAATTATTACTAATTAATTCATATCTGGGGAAAAAGGATATTTGAGCGTATGTGAATATGCTGACCCCAACGGGAATTAGGACTTGGCTCTCCGATTAACAACTCTGAGCCATTATACATTACCCCACTCGCACATCCAATCTTAAGCACTTGACATTCCCAAGCGGTCACTCATTTAGGTACTGACCAGGCTCGATGTTGCTTAACTTCAGGTAGTCCATTAACTATAATCTGGTATTAATTATAGATTTATAACAACAACAAAAATCGCCATTAAATATAGGTTTATAAAATATCCGGTATTACCATACCTGATGACATATAAAACGCACGTTTGTATAAGACTCACCCAAATTTCAGCAAGGAAAATCAAGGAAAAATTAGCAATTAGTAAAATTATTACTAAATTTTACAGCCTAGGCTATATTTCTGAGGTATTATTTGGGTTAAACAAGCCATGATTACAATTAAACTAAAAATAATAGGAAAAAAAGAACATGAGCCTATAAAAACTTTATTATATCCAAAGGTAAGAAAAAAAATAAAAATCAAGCAATTATTACAATTGAGCGAAACATTAGAGTTACCATTAAAATTTTATTCATCTTCAAATCCATAAAATTCGTTGTCTTCATTATCAAAACTCTGATGGTCATTTTCAATACTACTATCATCGTCGTTAAATATGACTGATTATGATATTAAATAAGATGACTGATTATCTTTGGAACGGTCACACTGTTAATACAAAATAGAGATCTAATTCCCTATGCTGTTTAAAGAAACATTAAAAGAAAAATAGTAACGGAAGTTGCTAATAGGCAAGACAGGCAAGACGATGGATATATTGAAGAATTTGTAGTTGGAAGACGTAGACCATCCACGATACTACCTTGATTCTAATCCACCTATTTTTTGTTTGAAAACAATAAAAGAAATTTGAAAAGAGGTAAATGTTTGAATGATTTGGAAGTTATATAACAACAAAGTAGTATTACAATAACGTTTACTCGCACGCCCAATATATATATATATATATATATATATATATATATATATATATATATATATATATATATATATAACTTTTAGACATTCAGATTGTGGATTTAGTGAAATCTAACTTATGCCCAGCATCGATTCAATGCAAAACGAGGAGGAGTTAGATCGATTGTCAAACGCAAGTCTCTCTTGTGTTCGTAGATGCTTGCTTTTTAGATTACGTGATGTCGCCCCCACATAAACATTTTTGGATTGTAAACAATTTATTTGATAAATCTCGGCATTTGAATTGGTGTTGGGTTTATTTTTCTTTCTAATTATATCTCCGATTGTCTTGGAGGTAGTGGTAACGATCCTAGTATTAGGGAATGTCTGATTTGTTTACGAGTTTAGTGGAAAGAGTATTGGAAAGTTAGGCTTATGAATTGTATGTAATTTTTTGTTAGAAGTGTTATTAGTGCAGTCTGTTTTAAGGATTTTTGAATTTTATATTTATTTTGCGTTGAGGAAAAAATGATGTGGGTAGTGGAGAAGTTTGAAAGTTTTCTCAAAATATCTTTCTTCTTCATTTAG